TTCCAAGAACAAAATGGCGGATCAAATATGGCGAACGGGCTGTCGAAAAGATGATTTGATTTTAACAAAAATTGGTGTACATACATCTTCCGGAATCCCGATTACGAATCTGAATTTGAAAATTCCAAAAACAGTATAGCAAATCAAATATGGCCGACGGGCGCGAAAGAGAAATTTTCCAGGGAGCCGACGAAACAGAATCGGATCGCGAGAGCGATCGGGACAACGAAGCGTATGCTTTTTTCCAACGTGGAAAAATCGACGAGTTGCACGGCTCGAAAGTTGAAGGATGCAACGGACGATCATCCTGCGCCGCCGATGGCTTCCACCTTTCCATCCAGCGCCCGCGAGCGGCAAGCTCCGTTCACGCGTTACGAACTGTTGATAGAGATCCACGTACAAGGTTGTCAACGTGTCCAGTGAAATTCCACGACGGAACTTCCCGGCGGTACCTAATCTCGTGGCCAGTTCTTTCGAAACGGGCCGGGTTGCCGATGAATTTTCAAGCGACCCGAAACAGGAGTGTACATATGTACGTACATATGTCGGCCGATCCTCGGCATCGCAGGCACCTTGCGCAAGCAAGGTGTACCGAATCGGCCGTAATCACTCATGCATTGCACCTTAGCATGAGCCTGCAAGGGACTGAGCATACGCCTGTGCGCATGTTGACAACCCCGCCTCCTCGTGGCCCCCGCTGTAAACACTGCTCCACTCACCTCCAAGCGAGGCTTGCACAGTGGAGCAGTGGCTAAGTGGGTTGTCTCCTGAAAAGGACAGTCCACCTTCCAGATGATCTCCACCATAGGTGATGGAAGGGTTTTTCACAGCAAGTTCCCCTCGTACTGGTTTCGCTACTTTTAACACTTTATCGTCCGGTCGTGGTTGAGGCTGTCACTCAGTAAGGACTGGCTTAGTCGCGCGCGCATTTGCTCCCAGTACCGGCTAAATTTTCGCTATTCATTGTGTTGTGCTTATTCCTTTAAAAATAATAATAAATAATAATATAATTATTATAATTATAATTCATAAGGATATGGGGAGGTCAGCATACAGGAGGTCAGCTACTAACAAAACAGTAAAGAAGCGAAAACCGTCGATAGCTAAAAGTCGATTAATAGGCTATCGGTCGATAAGCATTGGCAATCGAAAAGCCGATTAATAGGCTAGCGGTCGATAAAGTGTTAACATCGCCAGTATAAGCCGCACTCTGCGGCTTCGGTATGGCTCGAGCCGGCGAAAACCATATGCTCCAAGTGTAGACAATCAATGTACGTACATATGTCGCGTATATATCATACACATATCCATATTATCATCGTGACATACTTTCTTCTTTATCGGCGATTGTTTCGTAATCGCCGGCCGCGCAGGATGTTCCAGGATGTTCCAGGATGTTCCCCGACCGCCGCGCGTCGCTTTATCGCTCGAGATCGTCACCTTTCGTCCTGTTGTTTACCGGCCGTTTTCTGCGCAGTTTCTCACGGGGACGCGAACCACGCGGCGACGAACGGATTCGTTATCGTTATCGGCCCGGGACAAACACGGGGACACCGGCTTGTTTGCGCGCCGAGAGCAACAAGCCGCTTCTGTTCTGCGGTCGTTGATGATAATTAGAGCTTTCCAGAGAGTCCCCGGTCCCATCTGAAAACTTTTCCTCTTCGCGGTGTGCACGTACGTTCATTTGTGTATGTATGTATGTATGTATGTATGTATGTCCGTTTTACATTCGGTTTGGCACTTTGCATTACGGTCACGCCGGCCACGCGAAATGATTCCTGCCCGTTGGATACGCGGCCGGCATGCGAGCTTAGCGACGGGAATCAACCGATTATGATCCTTCATCACTCTCCAAGGTATCCTGTCTATGTATATATATATATACATTATGCTCTAGTATATGTTAAGATATATATTAAACTAGTATATGTTTAATATATACGTTAGGCTAGTATATATTTAGTATATACATTAAACTAGAGTATATATAATAATATATACATTAGACTAGTATATATTTAGTATATACATTAAACTAGAGTATATATAATAATATATACATTAGACTAGTATATATTTAGTATATACATTAAACTAGAGTATATATAATAATATATACATTAAACTAGTATATATTTAATATATACATTACACTAGTATATATAATAATATATACATTAAACTAGTATATATTTAATGTATACATTACACTAGTATATATTAAAATATATATATTTAATATATGCATTAAACGAGTATATATTAAAACATATATATTTAATATACAGGGTGTTGCTGTGCTATGCTGTCGCGAAAGCAGCTATGCAATTGGCGGGCGTTTACGACGATTCTCAGATTTACGCGCCAATTTCTCGATATAATGCATTTTATGCATATGAAATTGACTCTTAGGACTCGCACAACAATTACGCTCTTAACAATTTTTTCAAATCTAAACTTTGCCAATATCAAAGTTATCTTAGAAGATGATATAACAAATTTTAGCGATGCCTCAGAGTCGCCAGTCGAGTGCAATTGGGTTAAATACGTATATAATTATTAATAATTATTAATATAATTGTTAATAAAACGTATTAATTACTGCACATAGGCGTCTCACGTCTCGTGCACCTATTCGATGGAAAACAGCGAGCGTTCAGCCGCTTTTGAACGACTGTGTAGCCGCGTGCGCGCGCGCGCACGCGCGAGACAACTATAATGCGAATATACGCGGGTCGAAAACGAACGTGCAGAGCGTGGGTTAGCCTCGAAGAAACGACTTATATTTAGCGGAGTCGTACGTTAACGTCGCGTCGGGTATCGCTTTATTGCAAAGCAAAGCGAAGCAAAGCAAAGCAAATCGAAGCGAAGCAACGCATTTTGCTCCTGTTCAAAACCCGGTCCCGCTTTCTCCGGTCGGCCCGGCCACCATATAGTTGTGGTTTTTCATTTGCCGCGATCCAGGATTGTTCGTGATACCGGTCCTCTGGATCCGCTCCGAGGATGGAAGTTCGCGCGCGAAAATGCTCGGCGAAGAAAAGGATTCGATGCGCGTGGGGGGGATTTGTTTCCGCGTTTGGCAAGGTTATATATTTATATATATAATTATATATTTTTTTATATTTTTTATATTTTATATTATATATTTTTTTATATTTTATATTATATATTTATATAATAATATATATAAAATTTATATAATAATCTCTGAACAACGCGCCACTATAGTGGCTTGCTCCAGTATCTCACTCGCTCATCGTTCGAACCAAATAATCGTCTTCGTATGCATTGTTTCACACTTCTTTTGTCTTCGCATCGATTTACAACAGTCCACAGGGTGTCCGAAAAATGTCTCGCAATCCGGAAATGGCGGGTTCCTCGGATCATTTGAAGCAACTTCTTCCTTTACAAAAATGTTCTCCGAGGCACCGTTAACGAGTTATCAACGAAAAACAGTGACCAATAAGAATCGAGTACGGCTAACGCGAGGCGGCCCGGCCAACCAGCGCGCGAAGCCCAGTTCCGCTCATTGGCTCGGTCGCCTCGCGCCAGCCGAGCTCGCCTCTCATTGGTCACTGTTTTTCGTTGATAAGTCGTTAACGGTGCCTCGGAGAAAATTTTCGTAAAGGAAAAAGTTGCTTCGAATGGCCCGAGCAACCCGCCACTTTCGGATTGCGAGACATTTTTGGGACACCCTGTATATACAGTATCAGACTCTGTAACAGTACACATCAGACTCTGCCGTCCAGAGAAATAGCCTCGCGCAGAATTCAGCCGTACCTAAAAGGTTAAACACTTCGTAGCGATCATGCTTGTTCGTTATCGCTGTTAGCAACGAGACGCGACGCGACGCGACGATAAGTCTAAGCTTTTGTTCCGAACGTGTCGGCCGATGCGCAAGATATTATTCGGCCGTGGAACCAATACGAACGCAAGCGATACGCCGAGGCATCAAGGACGGATCGTTCCTTTCCTGCAAGCACGATTTCCCCTGCTATTTTGCTGTGCTGCGCGTGTCCTTGCCTCGTTGTGCTCGCTCGCCCGCCTCGCCCGCCTGTGCTCGTCTCTGCGAGCCGTTCGTGCTTATATTTTAGGTAATCTAACCGGCGGCGGCTCTGACCCTGAGCAGTGCCACGTTTCTAAAACCGCGGGCACGCGGGTTCAGAGATTCGTCGAACGGGACGGACGGACGGTTCAACCGCCGCGAATCGTTTTCGGCTCGGTAATTTTAAACCGTCCCAGAATATAACCGCGCCTCGTTTATTCGTCGCTGGTTGCCCGCCCGTGGATTCTCCGTGCTCGACGATAACTTACCAATATGGAAATAATATATAATATATAATAAATATATTATATTATATTATATTATATTATATTATATTATATTATATTATATTATATTATATCATATTATATTATATTATATATTATATTATATCATATTATATTATATTATATTATTATATTATATTATATTATATTATATTATATATTATATTATATCATATTATATTATATTATATATTATATTATATAATATATAATATATAATAAAAATAATATATAATAATAATTCGACCTATCGGAACTAGCCGAGAAACAAAGAGATTCTCTCATTCGCCGTCGACTTTCTTGCAGTCGACGCTTCTTTCGTTCACTTACACTTTGTACGAATCAAGTTTCGAATTTCAATCGAAGCTGCATGTCCCTAAATTTTCCCTTGAAACTCCAAGGTTTCGTATATACGACAGCCGACTAATAAATTTGAATTTCCCTCCCTGCCTCCCCCACCCCACTTCCTTTATCGAAGTAGTGATTATTTTGTCGTACCGACACGGTCAAATGATCGAACGCCAATTAACTAATTGTACTGACGTTTGTTTTAGCTTCGCGAACAATTTTCCCGCGTCGAACGTTCAAATTCAAACTTCGAACTTCGATCGTATCGATAGTGTCGACGCTAAACGTCGAGCGTCGATAGTCATCGACCTATCACGTGGTCGATAGTCGCAAAGCGGTAATGGCGTACGGTGGACGCCAGTAACAGCTGTTCTGGTGTTTCGGGTTCTTGGTGTAGCGTCGTGTTTGCAGAATCTTTTTCCCGTATCAAGAGATCTGGATCTACTTGATTGATAGAAGATCGTTCGGTCTTCTATAAGAAAGAAGAAAATGTCGAACTACAACGGCAACAAGGGCCTGATTCCGCCGCGATGGCTCCACTGTCCACGGAAAGCCATCAAATTGGTTCAGAACAAATTTCTGGCTTTCAAAACGCCGTTGTCGTCGGCATTCAATAGTCAGGTGGCGGAAGAATTTCGGTTCACGCTGGACATGCTGTTCGCCTTCTTAAAGAGCCAGAAACTGAAGCTGGGCTTATGGATCGATCTAACCAACACCACGCGATTCTATGACAAGGAATGTTTAGAGAAGTATGGCTGTAAATATTTGAAGCTGCAATGCAGAGGTCATGGTGAAACTCCTTCCGTAGAGCAGACAAAAACTTTTGTGCAAGTCTGTAAGAATTTCATATCCCACAATCCATTGGAGATCATCGGCGTACATTGTACTCATGGTTTCAACAGAACTGGCTTCCTTATCATTAGTTACTTAGTCGAAACCGACGGTACCAGCGTCGATGCTGGCTTGGTCGAATTTTCCACAGCCAGACCGCCGGGTATTTATAAGGCAGATTACATTCAAGAACTGTACAGGAGATACGACGACGTGGAGGATGCTCCGGATCCTCCTCCACGACCATCGTGGTGTTTAGAGTATGACGATTCCAATGTAGAAGATACAGACGAAGGTCCTAGCACAAAAATCGATACACCCGTAAGAAAAAGGAGACGCGAATTTCATAATAAGAATCCTATCTTCATGGCTGGTGTACCCGGCGTTGTACCAATAATGGATGAAAGGAAATATAGTGTGGTACAAAGGCGAGTTCAACAAATATGTTCATGGGAATCGTCAGGATTCCCAGGTTCCCAACCAGTTTCTATGAGCGAAGAGAATATTAGATTATTGCACGAAAAACCATATATGGTATCTTGGAAAGCGGATGGGACCAGGTTAGTAATATGCATAGTTCTTTTTAATCGTACAATTACTCAAAGTAAACTGTGATTATCGAACTAACGCTTATTGTCTGTTTCCATCTAGATATATGATGTTGATACAAGAAAACGGAGAAATTTATTTTATAGATAGGGACAATAGCGTGTTTCAAGTCAGTGGATTATCATTTCCGCACCTCACAGATGTAGGGAGGAATCTTAAAGACACTTTGTTGGATGGTGTAAGTAATTCTTATTTAAGAATTTGAATAACGTATCGTGTTCCTCTTTTCGATGATTTCTATATGGGAGCTTTGTTTTTAGGAAATGGTGATCGATAAGCAGGTAAACGGCGTACAGATCCCAAGATACTTAGTTTACGACGTGATCATGTACGATGGAAAGGACGTGAGCCATTTACCGTATCATCCTAATCGTTACTGTAACATTGAAAAGGATATTATGGGCAGCAGGCACAAAGCTATGAGAGAAGGAAGACTGCATAAAGAGACAGAACCGTTTGCTGTACGTTTAAAGTCCTTTTGGGATGTCAAGAAGGCCTCTAGGCTCCTAAGCGAGGAATTTGCCAAGCAACTCGGCCATGAGCCAGATGGTTTAATATTTCAACCATCCAAGGAACCGTATTGTCCAGGTGTTTCTTCCGAAGTCTTGAAGTGGAAACCTTTATCGCTAAACTCAGTAGACTTCCGATTGAAAATAAGCACGGAATCTGGTGTAGGAATCGTTTCCAAGAAGATTGGATGCCTATACGTAGGAGGATTGAATGTGCCGTTCGGTAAAATGAAGTTCACCAAAGAGATAAAGAACTTGAACAACGCGATCATAGAGTGTAAACTCGAGAAGGGCCAATGGGTTTTCATGCGCGAGAGAACAGACAAATCGTTCCCGAATTCAAAAAGCACGGCCGAGTCCGTGTTCAAAAGTATCAATAAACCGATCACGACCGAACGACTGTTAAACTACATCGAGGAGCACGCATTCTTACAGAACGACTCCGATCTCATGCCACCACCGAATAAAAGAAGACGAGCATAGTCCGCAGTTTAATTGATCGCCAACCTCGCCGATGTTATTATTTACTTAAGAATCGACGACCGATATATTTAGCATGAACATTAAAGCAGTTTACATGAATGAAGTACTGTTACGTAGCTCATTTTACTAATTTTAAATCAACGTCGTACACGACTGAAACTGTTTATTCAATAAAAAAAAAAACCTTTATAATATGCCACGTGTACTTTCTTTTCTGCTCCTCTCCGAACACAACCAGACTGTTTATTATTATTATTTCCTATTATGTTATTCTCAATTTGTTGTTCTCCTTCTTCCAGACAGAACCGTGTTACTTTGGTGTACGAAAGAACTTACAGTGAAAGAGAAGAGATCACTGCGCGTGAACATCGAATTCGATTATGCAACGTTGATCCGCTGGTCACCAGATGGCAAGGCTTTTATTATTCATAAGGGTGTTGCGAACACTATCGAGGTATACAAGATTTCAAAGAAGTCAGACGGAACGTTGGCTTCAGCGACAAAGGCTTTAGAGTTTCCGAAGGTATAGTTTCAACTAGCTTTGTTAAACTTGATCTTTACAACAATATTGGATATTTATTATTATTTATTTATTATTATTTTATTATTTATTTATATATGGATATTTCAGAAACATACAGAGGATATTGTTGGCATGGACATCGCGTGCACAGGAAAGTACATCATCACATGCAGCAAAGCAAATGATCTGGTAATATGGGATCTCAAGGGTCAGATCCTTGCAACAATAGAACTATACCTGGGATCCACCTATAAAGCACGTGTGTCACCTTGTGGACGTTTCGTTGCAGCTTCAGGTAGTAGTGATTCATCGATGTTCCCTGGTAACAAGTGAAACATGATTCTAAAGAAATATTGTTTTTTAGGATTCACACCAGACGTGAACGTGTTCGAAGTGATATTCACAAAAACGGGTGACTTCAAGCAAGTCTCGAAGGCCTTCGATCTCGCTGGTCATTCATCCGGAATATTCGATTTCAACTTCAGTGCCGACAGCAGTCATATGACTACCGTCTCAAAGGACGGGACCTATCGCTTGTACAACACGAAAAGTAATACTGTAATGAGCACGTCGATTAAGATTGGTCACCGTGATCGGATCGTATTAATGCTTTGCGCATTTACAGTTGAATTTGAAAAGGGGGAGGATCCACGTATACTTTTGTCTGGACCATGGGACAGCGCATCAACAGCTAGGATCGCGCTTTCACCAAACACAGAAGTGCTGGTAATAGCCCATGGATCTTCGTTAAGTTTTTATTCAACGATTACTGGTGCTCTAGACAGTACAATAGAAGATATTTTCCTCGGTAATTCTTTTTTACGCATTTATGAATCACACACTTGGAAATGTTGGAGGGACAATTTCAACAATCTTTAGAAAAAAGTCTCTTTGTACATATTTACTAATATATCGCTATTGCAGGTCCTATTACGTGTCTGGCCTTTGATGCTCTAGGCGAATACGTCTTGGTTGCCGGCGACAAACACATAAAAGTCTTCCGCAATATAACCGGTTATCGGGCGGCCATCGAATCGGCGAAACGCAAGCTGACGCAAAAGCAAACGTCCGCCACGAGGGAACGCTTAGAGAAACTCGTCGTCGACAATCGGAAGTTCCTCGAGGCGATGCAAGAGAAGTGTCCTTAATGATCCGATCGCGGAGTTTTTTTCATTCTACAATGATGAATATTGAAACGCAGATTGCATTTGAATGTTGCATTTGTTCTGCGCAAAGAAAAATCCATTTATAACATAATTTTTTAATGTACTTGAATAAAGGGGTTCATATGAATGGTTGTTTGTTCGGAAAAATGATTCGCGCTTCATGTTACTTCGTTGTACGCGCGTCAATAGTAGTCTGTCCGTGCTGCATTCTCGTTTCGAAAAATACGGGCGAACTTGTCTTTCGCAACCTTGAGCATGTAAATATTTATTTCCGATAATAATTCGTTTACTTTGAAACGACAGTTGTGAAGCGCGCGACGAGCCATGGCTACGACAAAGGTTTGCTATCGATTTCGAGTGTATTTGTATTGTTGATTTTTGTTGGTAACTTGTATGAATTTTAGTAGACGGTTTCACCGATTGAATGGGATTTATTAAACGACTTAAGTGCTGTGCCCGAAGATACTAGTACGTACGCGAAAGTTTCAGTTTGCACGTGTAATTTCAGTTGCAAATGACAGTTTTTGCTCAGTTATAGATTTTCTTTTGGAGCGACTGCAGCACGGTCAAATTTACACCTGGGTCGGTCCTCTTCTGTTGGCATTGAATCCTAACAATGAAGTGTCAACGTCTCACTTGTACAACATTTCAGAGTTCGATAAGCATGTTGATATGTCTAAAAAGATGTTCGAATCGAATCCCCATATATTTACTGTGGCGGCGAAAGCGCATTACAATCTTATTCAGGAGTTTGGAAAAGATCGTCAGGTAAACGTGATCTAAATAATATATAACAGGCACGGAAGATCTCATTTTTTTGCTTATCCCAGTATGATGAATTAATCAAGGTAATCGTTATAAGCGGAGAGACCGAAACAGGAAAGACGTTCAACGGTACAAAGTGTTTAGAATTCTTCTGCAGAATTAACAAACATTCGACGTGCGATCAGGATCACACACAGAATATTATGTTAAGAATTATGGATGCCTGTCGTTTGATATCTGCTTTCACAACTGCATCCACTGAGAGAAACGAAGTCAGCTCGAGACATGGACAACTTATACGACTCCATTATAAAGCTGATGCCATTTCTGGAGCGACCATTAATTCGTTTCTTTTGGAGAGAAGCAGAGTGACAAGGGGTTCACATAATTTCCAAGTATTTTACCAGGTTTGACTTCCTGTTCTGTAATTTCTCAAGTCATCGGAACAATGGTGTCTGATATAAAAACATTTTAGATGATATTTGGACTGTCCCGTATTGAACTGCAGAGGCTTCATTTATCCAAGTACCGAAACTACGATATATTGAACATAGATTACAGCAAGAAAACGGACTTTCACGAAGGTTTTCAGGATACTTTGAAAGCTCTTGATGTTCTCGGTTTCAGAGATGATCAGAAGAATCATATTCATGAAATTCTTGCTTTGCTAATCCATATGGGTAACATTAAGTTCAGAGAAATTGACGAAGCTTGCACCATTAATCTTGATGACGAAGGTGTGTGAACGATTGTTGTTATAATTATGTAGAATTACATTTGGAAAGGAACCTCACGATTCCTGGTCTTTTTAGAGTCCAAAGAAGCTCTGGAAAGGACTTGCCAGTTAAGTAGCTTAACCGAGGACGTGGTAACAGAGCTGCTCACTACCATTCTTATTAATCCAAAGAGTACATGGAGGAAACACACCTCTTATCATCGCTGCCTCGTCACTGCCGGCGCGTGCCGTATGAGATTGCACAGCATAATTAGACACCTGTACCATTTGCTTTTTTATTGGATTTTGAATCGCGCGAACGATGCATTATCCGTAAAATATGAATGTTCTCGATGGCTAGGTACGTTGAATCGTTTCAAGAACTATTCAATCAATTCAAGATTTTCATTTGGATTTTTAATTCAGGTATATTGGATATATTTGGCTTTGAATCGTTCAACAAGAATGGCATGGAACAGCTCTGCGTGAATTATGCTAACGAAAAGATGCAGCAACATTTCATGGAAACGTATTTAGAGAACCGAAAGTATTTGCAGAAGGAGGGTTTCGTTGAAAGCAACGAACCTTCGGACATTATCAATATTTACCAAGAACGCTTGACTGTTCTCGAAGAAATTCTATTTACAACCTTGAACGACGTGTGTAACGAAACCTACACTTGATATTCATACAGTGCAAACCTCTATGGTAGTATAACTTTTTTTTTTTCATTACAGGCTTCTCAATCGTTTGTAGCAACAAACGTATCCACAATTACACAGCTGATCTATAAAAAAATGCGTGGTGTTCAAAACAAATTTCTGACTATAAGAAGAGACGATTTTGTTGTGCAACATTACTCTTGCTCTGTTGCATATTCCATAGAAGATCTGTTGTCCAAAAATACAGACAAGGTATCATATGAGGCACTACACATAATTACATTATATATATTATTTATTTTATATTATATATATATATAATATATATATAATTACTATAATAAATACATAATTTTAAAGTGAAGATTATTAATGATCGTGTGCAACAGGTTCCAGATGAGATATCCATGGCTTTCCATACAAGTGAGAATGCATTTCTCCGTTCTTTATTTAAAATCGAGAAAGACCAAGAACTGCAGATCGTGAATTCTTCCACTAATAAAAAAACAATGCTGACTAAATTGAAGCATAGTATAGACACGCTTCTGAAAGAACTGAAGGAATGTGATTTGCATTATGTGAAATGCATTAAACCCAGGTAACTTATGCAACTATAGGATGACAAACTGCCGTGAACTTTTTATTCGTTAGGATAAATTTTTAGTCGACTAAATGACCATGCGTGGGATAAAGAAGACTTTCGAAAGCAATTAGCTTATATTGGTATTTTTGATGCTTTGTCTCTTGCTAATTGTAAATATCCAATAAGGTTACATTATAAAGATTTCTACCAACGTTATTCTAAGCAACCGGAAGGTAAACATACATACATTTTTTGTTTCTTCCAAATTTATACAAAGAGATGTTTGTTGATAGAGGTGGTCGATGTCGGTAAATGTAAGATGATTCTGGAGGCGGTTGAACCTGAACAGAGACTACACACGTTGGTCCACTATGGAAGGCAATTTATCTTTTTAACAGAACCCATCTTTTTCAAATTAGAAACCAATAGGAGGAATTACTTGATAAACTGCGCAAATAAGATACAAGAATTTTGGATCAGACACAGTAAGCATAAATATCTTCTCTAAATAGTTCCTTTTTAACTGTACTGATAATGTCTTGGTAGGACGCAATAGAATTTCTGTAAACCCTGAGACAACGAACCAGTTTGGCGTTGAGACAGAATTGAAGAAGTCAAGTAGTTCCGAAGATGATGATGATGATGATGATGTATTTATTTCTAGTCCAGTTTTCCTGAATCATAATATTGTTGAAACGAAAGAAAAGCCAATCGAAGATTTTATAGGAAATAATATCTTACTAAACAGTAACATAACAGAAATCAATGTAGAAAGAATCAATTTAAATACGACACAAAAATTGGTTAACGTCTGTTCAAAGAAAGAAAATATCGTTTTAAAACGAAAGGTCAATGTTCCAGAGGTATTACATGACCCAAAAAACATACAAGAAAAAAATGTTTCTAAATACCAATTTATGAAGATCATAAAAAACACTGTTAAAAAGTTGATCAGAACAGTTATACCCAAGAAATTACAAAGATTTACGCGTGGCGAAGGATACAAAAAAGAAACGAGATTCAGTGATAATAATAACAATTTGATGAGAGAGTACTTTGAAAATAAGATGTCGGTTGGTAGCGAAGAAAGATGTTTTACACTCTGCGATACAATTGATATTTTTTAGTTTATTTATCCTTTTAACGATTAATTCTATTGCTTTTAAACTGTTCCATTTTTAGGGGAAAAATGTAAGTAGAATTCAAATTGGCAATTGCACGCTATTCCTTGGAAATAGAATTTTAAGTAGACGTAAGCTCTGCGAGGTAAGACATAAGCTCTGGACATTAAGAAATCAAATTACAACTGTATTAAAAGACAAAATTTGTAAAATTGTTTTCATTGTAGACACCAATCAGGATACATATTAGACCTACGCGATCAAATAATCTCTATTCCCTTCACTTAATACAACAAACGGAATTATCACGAGGACTGCAAGATTGTATTTGAAAGACGCGGCCTTGAATTTTATCAAGAGGTCAGTTTTACTTCAGTTTTCCTTTTTATCTTTACATAAATTAAACATTTTGCAACATATTTTGCTAGAGATTTACAGGCCAAATTGTCATAGAAACTAGATGTTATTGCAATAAGGATTGTAATTAACGACACTTGAACGGGGTATGTACATGCATCAATATATAAATGTTTTCTCGCATGAACGAGGAAATATTAAAATTCGATGTATTTTCAAACTCGGATAGTGTTGTATGAAATTTGTACTTGGACAGTGTATTAAGACCATTAAGTTAAATTTAGAAATAAAGATTATCATTTTAAGTGTATATCACAAAAAGGAGAATGGACTGGGAAAGGGAAGAGTTTATTATTTCTAAATTCTAATAAATAATAGCGCCACTGAGCGTAGTGGCAAAACGCTCAAACTAGTAAGGAAATTACCGACTACAGATATTTCTTAAAAACATTAGATAGTGCCACTGTGTATTTCCACATAATCTTTTTACTCTGTTGGTAAATTTATCTGATAGTAATAAGTTATAATTATCTAATAGTAATCTAATTATAATTTATCTAATAGTAATAAGTGCACGCTATTTTATAAACTGAATATTACTTTTAAAAAAATCATTTTTAGCATGTCAGTATTTCCGTGATGATTTCTTAATTATTGTGAGCTTAAATTAAAGCTAGACGATCGCACTTAATAATTGATCTATTCATTTGGTCTAGTCGAATGAAGGTAAAACGAAATAATCGTGTGAGGTTGATAACGCATAATGGCGTGTCATTTTATGCTATATAACAAATCGTCGACACCGACGTACTTTTTAACCAACGTTGAAGAAAAACGCTAAAAATACGTTGTCAACAATGTGTGTATAATATATATTTATAAATACATTATGCAGGACAAACCTTTGGCCAGCGGAGCCGGGCAATTTTTGCCCACCTAAGACAGCTGCATGTAGGCCTTTGTATGCTAGTCATGAGCGAGTTTGTATTCGACCGCTTTCAAACTATCGGTGCGTCGGGCTCTTCGTAATAATATGTATGGGCAAAAATTACCCGTAGCCGTCGCGCATGTGACCAAGTTATCCACCGTCCAATTGATTAAAGAACGTGTTCGAATGCACAGCATCCATAATGTCTTCTCGAGGTAACTCTATAAACAGCCGTAGACGAGACTGTACGCATCGAATGGTTTCTTCTTCTTGTCTTTAAGTACCAACAGTCTTCGCGATGCGACAAGGGCGAGCGTTGCTTGAAGTTCGCTTCTCAAGATTTGATAATTTGCTCGTAAACTGACGCGTCTCAAATTACTTGGGGGTACTGGTCGTCCACCGGCAAATGCAAATCTAAAATTACATTGCAACGATGTTGGTGTTGAAGTATTCCTATATAAGTAAAACAACCAACAAAACAGACATACAGGATGAAACACCTAAAACTGATCACCCGAATAACTTTCACAAAGTGAATTATTCTTCATCGTAGTTGGCAATCGACAACCTTGAACGATTTCATGCTATCGATATCAAATTGTGTCTTGCGACAATAAAAACAGAATTATTCAGGTAACTTGTTTCGGAGGCCTCATTCTGTAAAATCAAGCAAAATATTCAATTTACCTAATTTCTCGTCTAGGACCTCTTAAAGTAGAATCTGGAAACGCAGACTGTCGATCCCATAACATTCGATTAGGAGGTATAGGTCTGACGTTCACGTACTTTATCTTGCTCTTAATGATAATTGGAAGAGAGGTAGGTTTTCTAAACGCATTCACAGTGCTTTTATAATTGATGGGTAAGTATGGCAGTAACGCATCTCCATAATGTTCCATAAGAATCGCAATGTTTAGGACATGAGATTGAGACTTGATAAGAGCACAGATAGCAAGCTGAAATTAAAAGGTATATGTTAATATCGAATGTTTAAATTGAATGACATTAGTTTGAAGAAGTGAATTTCATTTGCTTACAGCTATCCTTTGCCACAGTGCAGAACCAGGTGAAGCATATTTTAGTACATTTTCGGCAGAAAGCGGCGAATCTGCCTCGTGTTGAAAAAATATTAAAGGTTGAATACTTGCTAATAATTCCATTGCCATTGTCTTTGTTTTTTCTCCATCGATATTTTCTTTCTCTTCTTTCAATAATACGTTCTCTATTATTGGAAGATACTTATCGGCAGCCGATGGCCAGCGAAGCATTAATTTAAGTGCGCATTCCTTAAACAGTGCTTCGAGATTTAGATTGATAAAACTCTGTCCTAAAAGTAACTCTAACAGCAATTCAGTCAATTTGTCTACCTGTAATAAACGATATTAACGGTCTGAAGCAGTTCAAATTTTTTACAGATTCAATCATCAGAAATCATGTGATCTTACTGCAGAATATTACCGATGTTAAATGGTATGGGTAGACAGCTTCGCTATTACTTGCTATCGAGATAATAAGTTGACATGTCCTGGTAGATACTCTTGTGTATTGTGCATTATTAGAGATAACCATGGATCTGGCGATCGACATTAATTTGTCTATTACACCTTCGCCACCCAGATGAGCATTAGTAGCACAATCATTGATTAAAACCTGAAAACAAACATACAATTTATCAAGATGCTCCCGCTTATATTTTGTACTATGAATTTAGAAATAGTATACCTGAAATGTCTTTTGAGACCCATTAAATAGAGTCTTTAATGCGCGTTTAGCATAATTATTACGAGCTTCTGTTAATCTTATATCGCATATTTCTGATTCTATGAAAAAAAATAAAGAAAAACAATATCATTATCAATGTTATAAGATACCAAATCCATATCGTTGAAAATTTACCTTGAATGAAAGGTACATTGTTTTGTATTATATTAAGAGGATCGTTTATCTTTTGTACTAAATTTACAACATGGTCGTTAGGAACAAATACTCTGGCCTCTGTATGATATTCTGGCATTGACTCTGATGCGCCCATTATAGGATCTACATCGCATAGATTGGTAATCACAGCGTTTACATCATTAGATGTTAGACGTTTTCTCTTACTATGTTTCAGTCTTGTTACGCATTTCTAAAAATAAGATTTTATACTCTAATTGTATTATGACTTAATTAACATGTTAACTATAGGAAATTTCTATACATGCAAAACTTCTCTGAGACGGTACGAAGCATCCTCTGCTAGCCTTTTTAGTAGAGAATCAGACAGCGGTTGAATTCCCAATTCTTCTCCAATCGCAGATATCCATTCGGTGCTGAGAACAGCGTATCTTCTCGAATTATTCTCCGCTGCATTATTACTATTTGCATCTCCGTTGTTATTGACGAAGGAATTAATGTATCCTGAGCTAGCTTGGTTTGTCAACATTTCTTTCATGATTTCACTCGTTCTCGCCTCAATAACAAACAACTATACCGTATAGTCTGTCCTAAGTAAGTTCTCAACCGTCAACAAAGTGTTTTATTTTCATCTTTTCAACATATTTAAAAACTGCAACTGGCCACGAGCGATTCACATCGAGCGCGTGAAATTCGAAAAATAAGTTCTTCGATTCACAATATTTTTAAAAGCAATATGGCTGACAAAATAAATTATATTCACATATATATGTGTGTGTGTATATATATATAGTGTTATTCTATATAACTGTGTAACGTAAAAACAAAATTCATTGAAAACCGATAGTAGGCGCCAATTATAATTCAGCGCGTTGACCGTTCAAAGTTTAACTGTCAAATAGTTAATTGATAAATAGAGCTGACTAGTATAACATGTATAGGATAGATGGTCTCGTACATACATACATACAATATATAGATTAGTGACTTGGTAAAAAAGCAGTGATTGCACTTTTCCACGAAAGATGGCGACAAATTTATGGCTGATTTTGTGGCGGGCAATTTGAATTGTTTTAAACTGTTATTTGAATTTCTCGCTAAATCCAATTCTCGTATATACATATACTAGTCGTTGGCGAAGTTTATATAGCGTCGAATAGTTTCGAGAAACTTTAATTCGCGTATTTCAATGTTACAACAAAAAGCCAAAGCCTTTGACCAATTCTTCCAACCAATTGTTTCCAACTATTTTTCATTCATTGCTTTGGAAACGGCTTTAAGTTGCCACATGCTACTGAACGAAGGCTGAAGCTAAACAAATCAATGCTTCCAATAAAATGATAATGCTAAAACGAATTGTTCAGTTACAACGAAATATTGGAAGATAAGAAGGAAGTCTCGGGAAGATTTAAATACTGTCATTCTTGCATAATACATTGTGTATGTACATCTTACATGAACGTATTAAAATATAATCGATCGTTCTTCATGGGAGAAATGGCTCGATTATTCAAGAAGTAGATAGAAGAATTAGATAAAATAACCCAGATTTTACGATATGTATTTGAGGTATTCGATGTTACGATCTTAGAAATAATTCGTAGCAACAGGGAAACCTGCGAGAATTGGAAATTGCAGTTGTCTATTTGTAACTGGTTTGTAGCCCTATAATTGCGACGGAAATCTCATAAGGTGTCGCTACGGTCGTGCGAAGTTGTGCTCGTTCTTTGTTTACCGCACGGAACGTCCGATCTTCTGTCTTTGTAAGGCGAAAGCTGACGTTCCGTGAAATTTTAAGGGGCACGTCAACCAATCGGAAGTGCCGACGAAATTTACGCATAGAAATATCACTGACGTGTCCACAGTCCACAAAAGGGGAACTACTTCAAGGGTTCATGATTATTCCTGTTTTATACAAGCAGATAACAACAGTGCTCTAAAGATCGTGCAACTAGCCTAATCAACCTGTGAAAATCATGGCGTCGCTGTTAAATACTTTCGTAAATTCGTTCTCGCACAGACTGTAAGTAGATCCATCGGAGCACACTGAAACATTCCTTTGCGAATATCTCGCCCCGGGCAACAATATCGTTGATAAGAATGTCGTGTCATTCTAATTTCAACTGTACCTCGGATTACCACCCTGTTAAACTCATTTCGTCCTCTTCTAGCTTCGTGTTTTCGAAACTTAAGAATCACGATGATGTAACTCGTCCTACGTTACAAATACGTTTCCTGTCCGAAAAAATAAAGGAAATCCCTGTAGCCATTTCGGATCTCGTTTCGAATAATACTAATTATCATGATACGCATTTTTCCTTATCTGCGTTGTTAGTACATTGTACGACCTTCAATCGTTCACGTAGATTCCGGGATTGGAATCTGCTGGATATTGCATGTGACGATACCTTCGTTCAGCAGCATAATCATCATGACGTGTATCGCGAATATTCATAAATCTATAAGATCGTTGAAATCCTAGCACGATTTCATAAATTTCCACTTATCCGGTTGTAATATACATTTTTTCGTTACCTCATTTATTTTCAAAGATAACGAATGTTTTTTATTCTCACGCATTGCAACATAGCAAACATACTTGGCAGATAACAATTGATTTTTTTTTCTTTACAGCGATGCACCGGTCAGACAACATCTGAAAAATGTTTACGGGTGTCTGTCCTTGTCGGCTGCATCCGCCGCCTTAGGAGTCTACGCTCACCCGTATACAGAGCTTCTGCAGATTAACACGCTGACTTCTCTTTGCACTTTCGGGTTGCTAATGGCTCTACTGTGTACACAGGACAATGGAAAGAATCAGAAGCTGCGGCTTGGCTTTTTGCTGGGATTTGCATTTATGTCGGGCGTTGGATTGGTACCTTTATTTCAAATGATTATTGCAGTTGACCCAACTATTATAGTCACAGCACTAGTAGGTGAGTTCCCGGAGAGGTGAAAGCTCTTGGTACCAAAGATTGAATATATTAACAATAATACGTATATTTCTACCACTGTTGACTATTATTTATGCAAAATAATATGCTGTAGAACTTCCATTTATATTATTTTATTTAAAAAAATGTTTATCCTTATTTAAATGCATTTAAGAAAAATAAGTTAATTTTGGTAACTGTTTGGTAATTATTTACACTGTGGTCAAATAACTTTTTCCTATACAGATAATAGCGACCTCTTAGTTTTTAAGATATTTGCAAAAAACTGTTGCTACTGTTACAGTCACGTTCCGTGACAAGGTCGCGTTAGCTCTCGGTACGGATGTTTATCTACTGTTTTTTATAAACATGTCATGGGAATCGTTGAGTAGTCTATATAATGGACAAACTTTTTAAAGTAAAGAATAATCTTCAGATTTTGGAACCAGACCCTACTCAATTATCGTTAATTTGGTCGCTTAAGGGACCTACCCCAACCTAACCTATCCTAGATTCACATCAATTTAACCTAAACCTAAGCTAGACCTATATGTGTACGCAGTAGTATATCATAAAATTTTAATATATTCAGATATGAAGTTGTACGTGCAAAAATTACAATGAACTAGTATCATATTTAATTGAAAAGAAAGTGTTCAAGAACCTAAATTATTTGTTCTAAAAAATTTGCCCTTTATATAGTTTCCTCTCCGGTTCCTGCAACGTATTTTTAGAAACAGTAAATAAATGACTAGACCAGACTGAGGCAACGTTGCACGGAACGTGCAGGTATACAGAAAATTTCATGCAGTGGTATATACAGTTTTTTGCTATTATCTCGGAAACTAAAAGAAACCGCCTATTATGTGTATAGGGAACAAAATGTCTAGCTGCTTAACATATTTAAATTTCATAAAATTCGGAGAACAGACGCATATTTTTTTATGTGAGTACCATTTTTGGCTAGTATTCAGAAAATGTACAGGATACTAAGAGGTATATACGGAATAATTGCTATTCATAACAGTCTCATAATGATTAAAGAATGCTGTAAATACATAATATTTTTAAATACTTGAAATACTTAAAAAATATTGTTTCAGGAACCTTGGTTGTATTCGTATCGTTCAGCATCTCCGCCCTTTTGGCTGAACGAGGTCGCTGGTTGTACCTTGGCGCAATGCTAATAAGCTTGCTGAACCTTATGCTCCTATTCTCGTTTATCAATCTCTTCCTTCGTTGGTCATTTTTCTACCAGGCTCACTTATATGGTGGATTATTCCTAATGTGCGCCTTTGTTATCTATGACACCCAGTCCATCATCGAGAAATTCCATATGGGCAACAAAGACTTCATTTTGCACTCTCTAGATCTTCTCATGGACTTCATTGGAATTTTCCGTCATCTTCTCATCATCCTTACACAAAAGGTAAGCAGTTGATAACTGCAAAATATAAAATATCATTTTAATTACAAGATTTACTTATTATTGAAATGACTTTTTAGGAATTAGCAAAAAATCAACGTAAACGTAAAGAATAAAAAGAGGTGAGAAGAAAAAAAATGTAAAATATCATACCATTCAAGTAAAATCCATGAACTAGAGGTCTTCATCTAGTCTATCCATATGTAAGACATATTTACTACGATAAAGTGAATTAACGTAACAATAAAGCTTATTTATTGCGTCGAAAAATTTTTAGGCGGGAGTTGGTCATAAATACGCAATTGTATTTATTTTGGATTACTTAGTTGGTCACTTCTTTTTTCAATTATCTATTATCTACTAGATTTATATACATGTATACATACATAGATATAAATTTATTGTACTATATTTTTATCTTTCAATAAACAAAATTTCCCAGCGTTTCTGGACTTCTTCATTTGAACAGAAAGTAAATAATACGTAAAAAGACACGTGGTAAGGGAGTCAAACGAATGTGAACATAGAAAATGGGGAGGGCGAAAGTCTTATTTATTAAAACGTAACTTTACACGTACGATTATATGTATATATATAATCATTTACATGCGTATATATATAAAACACAAAGTACGTGTCCATGCATCGATCTTCATGAATATAAAAAATGTACGAGGAAAAAAATCGATGATAATGGAGTCGGTAACACATGACTTCAGTGTTAAGGGCGATTAATGTACATTACGTCGAAACTGTGTACAAAATGTGTACAGCATGTCAAATTTAGCGATTATGAGCAATCACTTTTTTTTGATACGCTTAATAAGGACGTTGACGATCCCTGTCTCTGTCTCCCCGTCTGAAACAGAAATGTTCTTCTAAGTACGCGTTTCCAAACATACACTAATTTGTACAATTACAGATACTGACCCTCCGCCTCCTCTCATCGGACCTCCACGACCGCCACGTCCTCCCCTGTCTCCACCGCGGAATCCACCTCTACCACCCCTATCACCGCCACGACCACCCCTGTCACTTCTGAATCCTCCTCGACCACCTCTATCACCTCCTCGGTTTCCTCGTCCCCCACCGCCGCCGCCGCCGCCACCACCACCGCCACCGCCGCCACCACCACCTCCAGCACCTTCAGGTTTCAAGCTTTTACAGAGATTGCATTCGCCTCTCCAAGCAAAATTAGTGTTGCCGCATTCCGGATTCGGACACCTGCTCGAACATAAAAATACGGTGAGAGATATATTTCGAGTATTGCATCAGTATTATTTCGTTTATGATACTGGTGACATATACCTCCAATCTCCACCTCGGCCACCTCCATCACGTCTATCGTCACCGCCTCCACGGTGATGATCATCTCGGTCACCACCACCCCCACGACCGCCAAAGCCACCTCCTCCCCGGCCTCGACCGCCACCACCGCGGCTCCCACCGCTGCGATTACCTTGCCAATTACTCTTATGCTGGGCAATTTGTACTTTAATAGTACGTCCTTTGAACTCCTTTCCATCGAACCAACTTATAGCTGAACGCGCTGCATTTTGATCGTCGTAAGTTACGGTGGCTTCGCCTTTTGATTTGCCCGTATTTTTGTCTTTGTACATCCATACTTTTGGTTTGCCGGTTCGCTTGTCATGCTGCGAACGGTACAAACAATGATGTTATCATCGTGCAGAGAGTAATCTACGTTTCATCACAAAGAAAATTATGAGAATATACTGACTTTGATTATACCAATAGCCCCGAAATGTTGGCAAATTTCTTCCTCGGAGATAGATGGATCCATACCAGATACAAATATAGTATCCTCTTGTGTAACCATTCCATCGTTGCCACCACCACGGTCACCGTAGCCCCCTGTAATTTGATCAGAGTTAAGAATTGATCTGGCAACACGCTCTTCGAGGTAGGAATAATACTTGCAAATCTACTTGTCCCTAAACCTACTCGAGTCTAAACTAACAAGTGGAAAACTTTTGTGTCGGGTTAACAAAATAGCAAAATCTTTACACTCTGGGCGAGTATTGAATTTTTCTACCCATATTTCGCGATCGGAAGCTGATTCTTAATTGATTCGTGATTACACCTAAACATTACTGAGTATACAACCGCATGTAATGCACAAACACTTTGCACCTCTTTCTCCTCGAAGAATGACCAGCGTACCACACGCTTCTTAAAACTTCTAATCCGTTCTAATAATAAAACTAGATTTACCGAAGTTTTATTTCGGTCATCTTCTTTCCCCAGAGAAAAGAATTCCTCTTGCTATGTACACGCACATATATATATATACACAATATATATACATATATTTTTTTCTCGTAAATTCATGTATGTCTAACTAAGAACATACAATTTTTGATCGTGATGTTTGCTGTACACCCCATAAATATTTGAATTTTATCTGACCTACTTACACATACTTCTTCTAAGAATCTTTAGAGATTTGTTACGTTGTTGGTTCAACAAGTATTTTTGTTTATACTCATAGAACACTTGTAAACACCTTCATTGTTCAAAGTAACCGACTTTTACGATACATATATATATATTTTTTTTCTTTCTTTTCGACCCGTGCATTAACGAAAGTATTAGTACTCATTGCCCTGACATTCTTAGTAGCAAAGAACAATATGTAGAGAACACAAGGTTGCAGCTTAGCATACAAAAGGGCTGCAACATTATTGTCACCCTTATCATTTCCCTAGAATATATTTTCGGGGAAGCCTCAACCGATCTGGGATTGGTATTTAGTTCACCAGCTGCCTTTTGTAAGATTTTGTTTTTCGACCTTCGTTTAAAAAACATTTGTTGCAAACAGCATTCGTGTGAGCAGCACGAATGCTGATGAAAAATACAAGTATTACAGTAGAAAATGATATTAGGTCCTTGTTTTTTTTTATAAAACCCCTTAGAAGCTTTAACATTGTCAAGCGCATAGCGCATTCATATTTTGAACCAACGACTACTACTTGTGCAGGTGTAATCTACACTCCAACATAATGCAATGTACAGTATAAGATCATGCAATTCATCTTTCAACAGAAATTTTGTTATTCGTCGAAACGAACGTTCATTGTTTAATATAAAAAGCAATTGGTGATCAAAGCAGCTTTCACAATGCTGCAGACAACATTTACGGTAAAATGACTCTCCATTTTCTTTTTCTACAGTAGATTGAACGATTTCTAACGACATATTATTGGTAAGAAAGAAATATCCACCCCTAACAATGTTGCAGAGCAGCCCTTTCATATAATACAAGTAACCGAGTATTTAGATTGTAAATATTAGAGTGAAAGCTTGAATAGCACCAGACTCGTACAGACAGTCTGGTGCATTTACCTTTGTTATAACCACCACGGCCACCGCCACTGCTAAAACACAGAAGCAGATATACCAATGAGTTGACTCATGGACAGACTGATCGATCGATCGATGCATGGCGAATCAAATGCTGCTCGCCACCTCTCTTCTTGATGCACCTACTGTCTAAATGTCTGTAGTCATATTATCTTAATTCTAGTAGGATAATAGTCCTGTCTATCGTCGTGTTAGTCGGTCGCGTCTGGCATGCACAAAAATTACCTAGACATTGTAGTAGTAGTAGTAGTAGTAGTAGTTGTAGTAGTAGTAGTAGTAGTAGTAGTAGTAGTAGTAGCAGTAGTAGTAGTAATAACGAGAAAAAAACCAAGAGCATAGCAGTGCATTCCGCGAAGGTATCATTAGAACTTTGTCCGCGATAAAATGGTCAAAACAATCCTCTGGAAAATATTACCCTATTCACATCAGATATATGCACGCATATGTGTATGCGTATAGATATATACACACGCACGCGCGCGCGCGCGCATGCCCATCTATTGTATTTGTAAGTTTATCGGTAAGAGATTACTATTGATATACGTTGATTTTGAACAAACAGAAGAGAACAATCGAGCAAATTACATTCCAAGTAAAAAACGAATGGTATATTTGGCATAAGAATGAAAAATAAGGGATAATCGAACATATGAAAAACAAACGCCAGCTGCTAATGTATTCATTGAAATTTCAACTTAGTAATGATAACTACTCGAATTACACAAGTGACCGCAATCTCTTGCAAATATTTTGAACGTCTTTAAATTGTCTAGTCGATTTCAATAATCCTAAGGTAATAATACTTGAACGACAGTGGCCCCAGTGGCAGTGTTACACTGAGTTTCAGGTACGCTCGTGTTGCGAAACCTCGACACGTATGGCGTATCGTATTTTACTTATTGTAATGAATGCAGAATCAGAACGTATCACACACTATATAACCATTTTTACGTCATTTGTCATATACAACCTGTTTTTACCTTTACCAGTTATACCTGTGTGTTAAACCTGTAGGCACACTTCAAACATATTAACGCCCAGAGGGCATAAAACCATTTGCAAGGAGACAAATTGTTCAATATTGTCATTAGAACTTCATTTCATACCTTGATTAATTCAATAAATGTTTTACCTTTCCACCGATTATCATTATTATGTCGTTAATCGTAAATGAATCTCTCTTATTGGCCTTACAACTTTCCCTGCTTCGTCGTTTTTTTATGTATAGAAATGTAACGTAAAAAAAATATACTTACTTGTAACCACCGCCAGAGCGGTCATTGTATCCCCCGCGATCGCCATATCTACTNTCTAACGACATATTATTGGTAAGAAAGAAATATCCACCCCTAACAATGTTGCAGAGCAGCCCTTTCATATAATACAAGTAACCGAGTATTTAGATTGTAAATATTAGAGTGAAAGCTTGAATAGCACCAGACTCGTACAGACAGTCTGGTGCATTTACCTTTGTTATAACCACCACGGCCACCGCCACTGCTAAAACACAGAAGCAGATATACCAATGAGTTGACTCATGGACAGACTGATCGATCGATCGATGCATGGCGAATCAAATGCTGCTCGCCACCTCTCTTCTTGATGCACCTACTGTCTAAATGTCTGTAGTCATATTATCTTAATTCTAGTAGGATAATAGTCCTGTCTATCGTCGTGTTAGTCGGTCGCGTCTGGCATGCACAAAAATTACCTAGACATTGTAGTAGTAGTAGTAGTAGTAGTAGTTGTAGTAGTAGTAGTAGTAGTAGTAGTAGTAGTAGTAGCAGTAGTAGTAGTAATAACGAGAAAAAAACCAAGAGCATAGCAGTGCATTCCGCGAAGGTATCATTAGAACTTTGTCCGCGATAAAATGGTCAAAACAATCCTCTGGAAAATATTACCCTATTCACATCAGATATATGCACGCATATGTGTATGCGTATAGATATATACACACGCACGCGCGCGCGCGCGCATGCCCATCTATTGTATTTGTAAGTTTATCGGTAAGAGATTACTATTGATATACGTTGATTTTGAACAAACAGAAGAGAACAATCGAGCAAATTACATTCCAAGTAAAAAACGAATGGTATATTTGGCATAAGAATGAAAAATAAGGGATAATCGAACATATGAAAAACAAACGCCAGCTGCTAATGTATTCATTGAAATTTCAACTTAGTAATGATAACTACTCGAATTACACAAGTGACCGCAATCTCTTGCAAATATTTTGAACGTCTTTAAATTGTCTAGTCGATTTCAATAATCCTAAGGTAATAATACTTGAACGACAGTGGCCCCAGTGGCAGTGTTACACTGAGTTTCAGGTACGCTCGTGTTGCGAAACCTCGACACGTATGGCGTATCGTATTTTACTTATTGTAATGAATGCAGAATCAGAACGTATCACACACTATATAACCATTTTTACGTCATTTGTCATATACAACCTGTTTTTACCTTTACCAGTTATACCTGTGTGTTAAACCTGTAGGCACACTTCAAACATATTAACGCCCAGAGGGCATAAAACCATTTGCAAGGAGACAAATTGTTCAATATTGTCATTAGAACTTCATTTCATACCTTGATTAATTCAATAAATGTTTTACCTTTCCACCGATTATCATTATTATGTCGTTAATCGTAAATGAATCTCTCTTATTGGCCTTACAACTTTCCCTGCTTCGTCGTTTTTTTATGTATAGAAATGTAACGTAAAAAAAATATACTTACTTGTAACCACCGCCAGAGCGGTCATTGTATCCCCCGCGATCGCCATATCTACTGCCACCACCGCCTCCTTGGCCTAGGCAAGTACCATACTCATATTTTTCACAAATTTCTATACTTAATACCTCAGACTTTTCTTTACAATCGCATTTTGAATTATTTTAAATATTTTCTATACCTCCACCATAGCCTCCGCTAGAGCTATTGCGATTATAACCACCACTGCCTCCTCCTCCACCTCCACCTCCATGTCCATAACTTCCACTATAATTGCCACCACTGCCGCCATTATTTCCAGAACCACCTCCACTGCCATAACTGTTCTGGTTGTAACTGTTTTGATTCTGCGGCTGACTGTAGTCTTGCCCACCGCTGGAATTGTAACTGTTGTAACTGCTATAGTTGCTTCCAGTATTTGGTGGAGGTTGACTATATTGATTATAGCTGCCACCACCGCTAGAAGGCGGCGGATACGAGGTATCCTGACCACCAGTAGGTGGTGGCTGGCTGTACTGATTGTACCCCTGTTGCTGGTAGTTTGAATATTCTGAAATGAACAATTAAACACCTCAGAGTCCGTAAAAGAAGTAATAATGACAATTTTAAATCTTCAACTATTTTGAAGACTAATAAGTAAACAAAAACAGGTTGTTTGAAAAGTTATAACAGAAAACATATAAGAAAACATATAATATTCCATTAATTTTCTCTACTTTTTATTTTGGGAAGTTAATCAATTCAGCATGTGAGTGGCTGAAATGTTTTTTTAACTTATAAAAATAATTATTGATTTATGGAAACGAGTGCAATGAATGTACGAGTAAATGCGTAAGTTGCATAGCAAAAAAAAATAGGAAATATATTTTTCCATGAGCGCGCTTTCGTAATTACAATTGTATAAAATTGATCTGGTGACATAAATTAATTGCAGTTTGTTAAACGAAACTGAATCGGCTAGAAATGGTGTTTATGTATAAATCGAATAACAAAATGGAGTTGAAAAATGGGATGAGACGCTTGAAACGCCGATCAATAAATCTCATACGTAGACGCATAATGACGAGAGTACTATAATTATTCTATGTCCTCTTCTATCAGTTCATAGTATTTCATTAGACCTTATTCTTCGCGTTGCCTATTGTAAAATCTCAAGTCTTAATTAATCATGCAGTTACATTAAGAGACGTGGCGATCGCACAAGAAACGATGAAATGAAATTGTCCGTTCGATGAGTTTTCTCAATAAAGTAAGATTTCTCGGCGAATAACGATAATTTCTTAATAAAACATTTATTACGGCTTTATGTATAATAATTTCGCATTATTTTTTTACTTACGGGTGTCCGTCATCGTGCCTTCCTCCGGTAATCGAATTGCTACACGGTAGAAAAAGCACGTAATGGCGGGAATCGAGCGACTTTCCAACGATGATTCCGAACGACTCGAATTCAATGGTTCAACTCGGCGTTTTACTACACACCGGATGTTGAACAGTAACAACGGAAGTGAATAGCTCCTCAGATGGCGTTGTTGTTGAGCTATTCGTTCCTTGAACTGATTAGCGTAGTATCGCCTACGAATTTGAAATTCTTTTCGCGTTAGCTCTATTTTACCTTTTACAATTTTACATAATAATAATGTACGTAGTATACTTCGAGTCTTTATATGACGCTGTAAGTTTTGCAACGTCACAATGTTTATAGGATCTGTGAATTTCTAAAGTACAAAAAGAACTGTTCATTAATAAGGATTGGTATTTTTTTTCTTCCGTTGTCATTATTTTTTCTTTTAATTTTTCTCCTATTTAGATTTTTACAAAATAAGCGATTAAAATTATGTAACATTTGAATCGATATTACGTAACACTTTTCAAATTGAGTGAAAAATAGAAACAAGAATCAACGATACTTCAATTTAAGAATTTTTTATTTTCATATCATAATACTACACTTAATTTAAGTTTTCAGTGCGATGCATAATTTTGGTCTTACTTCGCGAACAAATTCCACTGCAAGTTGATGATACAAAACGCGGCCTTCGATACAGCGTTATTTGTTTCTCCTTACCGTCTTTTCAATATATATTTACAGGATGAGTAACGATACTCCTTGTTTATACTAATGATTCAAATCTATATCCTATTAACTCATCAAGATGCTCAACTTCTTTACAATATGCTTACAAAGATCTATAATCTCATACAAAGATCACGAACCGATAACGAACGATTCTTTCCACTTCTTTCACGAAAAATCAATAGTCTTGATAGGTTAAATGGTGAAGTGCAACACACGTATACTCCGTACGTATACATGTGAACCACAAATACATTTTACACAGTCGAGTCTATATTACATACTGATAGTGTACAATTGCCGTAAGAAAAAGATTTCATAGTTTTTTTTTAAAGATCAGGCGTCATTTGAAAATGTATGATAATAAAATAAATGTGTCTATGAAAACCGACCCTAACTCACGATTCAATAGAACATTCATGGAAGATATTTTGCTCGCAATAATTGTTTACGTATGCGCGTTCTTAATCAATAGGGAAGAAATTAATTGTGCCCGCAAAGATCAACGCCAGGTCGGAGATTTGGTACAAACAGAAAAGGTAGAATTAAAGATCACGAATTGGAATGTTGAGACGGTGTTAATCCTCCAGTATGTTCGGGGCTGTGTTTCTGTTTTTTTCTCTTCTTCTCTTTCTTACGTTTTTTCCTAGCTTCTTTTTCTTCGTCGTGTCTTTTTTGTTTCTTGTGCTTCTTTTCGTGAGTGTCCGAACCGCCAATATCTGTTGTTGTCGCTTCTTGACCACTAGGTACTTCACCAGGCTTGTGTTTATGCTTTTTATGTTTGTTTTTGTGCTTTCTTTGTGGAGCTTGATTCACGTAACGATACTGTTCTGGTAACTGAAAACACAAAGCATTATTTTTCTTCTTGCTAAATATTTTCTTCAATGTAAAAATACCTATTACAATCCAATTCTTTACTTACAGGTCCAGGATGAAGGCGAAAACCAGCCAATTGTACACTAGTCAATGGTAGTAATTCTTTCCCAACGATTGGAGGTTTTTCTATTACAGATCTCAATGAACTAAAATTGAGAAGTACATTAATATTTATCTCATGTTTGAAAATGTTTCTCAAATTTGATCTGTTATTTAATAGCTACCTGTTATCTAAATGTCCGGGTCTGTCTATAATTCCTGGTAGAGTTGGTAAAAAAGAAGAGAGTTGTTCCTTGAGTTTCTTTCCACTAAATTTACTATAAGAATGTTCCAGACCATAATAGTTCATTAAATTTCTTGCCCCTGTAAGGTCGCTTTCTCCTAAAAACCAAGAGAATTTATTAGACAATGCTATCGTATAGCATCTATTTTAGATTACATATAAATAATATACCAGGGGGCTCCTTCATCAAGTAAAAAGGCCCGCTATGGACGATCGAAGGATTCTTTCCCAGGGATATGGTTGTTTTGAGGGTCCCCGTAGAATCCTGACGCGAAACAACAGGGGAACGCGCTCCCCTGGGTGACGACTTTGGTGAATATTGCTCCACTTTGCTACGAAACTGATCGCCCATCATCATCCTTTGATTTTACTTCATGGCACCTTCACTACAATTAATTGGCTCTAGTATAGAGCACAAACAAGATGGTTAAAGTACCTTTTACAGAATCAACGAGCATTTACACTTTATTAAAGCATAAGAGAACAGCTCGCTGTTACTACTGCGACACACGATAAACATGTAAATCTTGTATTTCTGTATACAGGCACCATGCAACACAATTGTAACAAGGGTACATGATTCGATAAGTTATACAATCAGAAGAACAGTAGAATACTCAAGAAATATCTTAGAATTTCGTCGAATTCATATGTTATTTATATGAAAGAAGATAACGGTCGTCACCGGAATTTGCTCGTCCGTGAATTGATCGAGATGCCAATTGATCGTTTCGTAAACATCTTGATCGTATCACTCGTTCGTAGGTTACAGTTCGTGTAAAGGAAAAAACGATCGTTGTCAGTAGCAGGACATCACGAGCAGAGGTGTTCTGTGTCTCTAAGGTAGAAATTAATCAAAATTGTACGATGTTACGATTCACGGTGAAGTACATACTGATATGAATACGTATAGACGGTTCCATGTACATCGATTTATTTAAATCCATTATTTCTTTGGGTACCTCCGTTAACCAACAAACCCTCCCTCTCGAGTTCATCCCTTACCGAAGCACTGATCGATTTATAAATTTCTATGTCCTGTTTCTTCTCTATTTTTAGACGTCACACACCACGCACATTTATTACCACGCTTACAGCTTACACTTTAAAAAGTAGGCATTGGACTTCTAGATTTGAGACATGTACGGAATCAGGCATGTATATAGATAAGAAACTGCATACAAAAGTGTTAGATGCATCGTCAACTAAACGTTCGATTATGTTGCATTGCTATTTAATTAGTGGTAGTCAACAATACGAACAATAAACGCTTCCAGCATTTTATCCTTGGCTCACTTTCTGCATCGAATCTTTTCACAAACGTGAAACCTATTTTTGTCCATATCGACGGATCTGAAACGTCGATTTTTGGTGCGTTTTCAATACATTCTTCGGTTCACTTCTAGCTCGCAGCTAGAAAGTATTTCACGTGCAATGTATCTTGCTCTGATCAACATGAAAATGTAGTAAGATTCAGGTGGAACAGATACAGAAGTTATAAAGTAGTTCCCATTTTATTAGAAGGTTAACACAGATCTATACATATGTATGCACTGTGTATGTACATATATACATACATGTCATATGTATATTATACTGGGTATCATTCGATTTAATAGAGAATACATATTTCAAACACGAGGTCTGTCATTATTATTATTTATTTGCAATGATCTGGGGTGAGAAAACAGTCCTCAAAGTTGTAGATAAAAATCATATCTTTTTTAGATATCTCGAGAAATAAAGCGTGTAAAACAATGAATTTTTAAAAAAATATGTGATTAGCAAATGTAGTCGCATTAGAAAATTGCTCAAAAAGTTATTTGTTTAAAAAATATGTGTTTCAAAAAATAAGACTTATTTTTAAAATTTTTCTTGTTACATAATTGTTGATCCATTTTTATATAAATTCGAATGGGTAATCTATGGATTAAAATGGGAAGTGCAGTCCTCTCTCAATACATGAGTTTTTTCTTCTCTAAATTCAAGAATCTTTTTACCCAACCATTCTACCGCGCATCCACATTCACGCAGTTACTTTAGAAAGAGAACGGAAAATGATCAAGAGAGACGGATCGAAGCGGTCTCTATGGGTGAGTATTTTGCACATCCATATACATACATACCTGGTATTCCGCTTGAAATACGCGGCGCAATATTCAACTTGTACGTTTAGCGCGGGAGATTGAACGAATGTTGCAAGTGAATAGTGTAAACTTCAAATCCTTTTTTGAAAGATGAAATACTACCCACTTTAACGAATAAATGCCATTTTTAAAGAAATTTTGGTCTTTCGCGTGAATAAATGCGGCTATGGAGATTTCAATATCTTCGCAAATAAAGTGTTTATTCCGTGAAAAGAGTTATATAGGTGTTTGAAAAAATGGAAATCTATTCACGATAGATCGAGTGGATAGGATGGATGTTGCAAAATTTCATACTTTTTGATTCATTTAATTCTGAAACTGTTTCTTGTGATTTAATAAAGAATTTGCAAAGAAATCTTTTTGCAAAATATGACGCTGGCAATACATAATAATAACAACATAACGTTGGCAGGGAGACAAGTATTTGCAGATCATGAGGAATGTTCATTGAAAGTTTCACCTTCCATCATTGGGAGACCATTTCTCGCCGGAGTTAAGTGCCAAAAACATATGTTTCATCGCGTCGAAGCTTGTCGTCGGATTGAGCAATCTGCTATCCCCACTCTCTATCCTGCGCAGTAGATGTTTGCGCATTTCGCTGCTGACAATCCAATTCAAAAACCTCGTTGCCCTCGGGTATGGTTCTTGAGTTGATTTGCATTCTTGGATTTCCATTGGCAATCCACTGGAATCGTCTAATCCCATTTGTGAGGTCTCCTCTCCATCACTTGAAGCAGATTCCGAACAGAATCCCTGACACCATTGGACACACTAGACACCAATGGACATACTGGCCTTGAGTGGAAATTTCACGAACGGCTAGGATGCTGGGACGTAGCCACCTAACGGTGAAGCGACCGAACTGATCCGAACAAAACCTTTCTGCTATGTTAAATAGTTGCATGTGTACATAAGTATTCAAATTAATAAGAATATTCAATATTTTTATGTGAAAAATATAATATTTTGAGTTATGATAAGGACGTAATTAACGTTTATCTGCATTTACTGTGTCATATTTTCTTCTTTATTAAATCTTGAGGTTAACCATGGTTATGTGACATCATACTATTTTACGAATAGATTCTCTTCTTCAAGTGAATCATTCATGAAACACTGTATTTTATACAGATTGGTTTAATTCTCTTGACTTAAAGTAGAATTCAGGATATAGCGGTGGATTGTAAGTATCTTGTGGACATAACCTTAATTATATCTGACTTGAAAATAAGAGTTTTAGTATGTTTCATGCGGTATTAGCATTGTTGATTGATATGTAGATCGACTATGGCCCATCGAATCCTTCACAAATATCCCAGGAGACCTCCAAGCCTACCAAAGGAAATCAAACAACANCCTGGTATTCCGCTTGAAATACGCGGCGCAATATTCAACTTGTACGTTTAGCGCGGGAGATTGAACGAATGTTGCAAGTGAATAGTGTAAACTTCAAATCCTTTTTTGAAAGATGAAATACTACCCACTTTAACGAATAAATGCCATTTTTAAAGAAATTTTGGTCTTTCGCGTGAATAAATGCGGCTATGGAGATTTCAATATCTTCGCAAATAAAGTGTTTATTCCGTGAAAAGAGTTATATAGGTGTTTGAAAAAATGGAAATCTATTCACGATAGATCGAGTGGATAGGATGGATGTTGCAAAATTTCATACTTTTTGATTCATTTAATTCTGAAACTGTTTCTTGTGATTTAATAAAGAATTTGCAAAGAAATCTTTTTGCAAAATATGACGCTGGCAATACATAATAATAACAACATAACGTTGGCAGGGAGACAAGTATTTGCAGATCATGAGGAATGTTCATTGAAAGTTTCACCTTCCATCATTGGGAGACCATTTCTCGCCGGAGTTAAGTGCCAAAAACATATGTTTCATCGCGTCGAAGCTTGTCGTCGGATTGAGCAATCTGCTATCCCCACTCTCTATCCTGCGCAGTAGATGTTTGCGCATTTCGCTGCTGACAATCCAATTCAAAAACCTCGTTGCCCTCGGGTATGGTTCTTGAGTTGATTTGCATTCTTGGATTTCCATTGGCAATCCACTGGAATCGTCTAATCCCATTTGTGAGGTCTCCTCTCCATCACTTGAAGCAGATTCCGAACAGAATCCCTGACACCATTGGACACACTAGACACCAATGGACATACTGGCCTTGAGTGGAAATTTCACGAACGGCTAGGATGCTGGGACGTAGCCACCTAACGGTGAAGCGACCGAACTGATCCGAACAAAACCTTTCTGCTATGTTAAATAGTTGCATGTGTACATAAGTATTCAAATTAATAAGAATATTCAATATTTTTATGTGAAAAATATAATATTTTGAGTTATGATAAGGACGTAATTAACGTTTATCTGCATTTACTGTGTCATATTTTCTTCTTTATTAAATCTTGAGGTTAACCATGGTTATGTGACATCATACTATTTTACGAATAGATTCTCTTCTTCAAGTGAATCATTCATGAAACACTGTATTTTATACAGATTGGTTTAATTCTCTTGACTTAAAGTAGAATTCAGGATATAGCGGTGGATTGTAAGTATCTTGTGGACATAACCTTAATTATATCTGACTTGAAAATAAGAGTTTTAGTATGTTTCATGCGGTATTAGCATTGTTGATTGATATGTAGATCGACTATGGCCCATCGAATCCTTCACAAATATCCCAGGAGACCTCCAAGCCTACCAAAGGAAATCAAACAACATTTTAATTACTTACTTGTGCTTGATTTTGAAGCTACTTGTAAAGAGTATGAGCTTATAAAACCTCAGGAAATCATTGAATTTCCATGTGCAGCTGTATCTACAAAAAGTTGGCAAATCGAAAGTATATTTCATGAATATGTTAAACCAAAAGTTCATCCGAATCTTACAAGTTACTGTATTAAATTAACTGGCATTATACAAGACATGGTAGAAAATCAGCCACACTTTTCAGATGTGTTTGATAAATTCCAAGGTTGGTTGGAAGAAAACAATTTCTTTAAAGATGATAATAAATGTGCTTTCGTTACATGCGGTAATTGGGACTTAAATGTGATGTTGCCTGCACAATGCAAATTAGAGAAAATAACAATACCACCACATTTTACCAAGTGGATAAACCTTAAACAAAGCTTCTTTGATGCAACAGACGATTATCCGAAAAGTATGACATACATGTTGTCCGATCTGAAACTTCCTCTAGAAGGACGTTTGCATTCTGGCCTAGATGATGTGAAAAATATGGTCACCATAATACAAACCCTGCATGAACGATATAATTTGTTATTTAAAATAAACAGTGCACCCAATATATTGTTAAAACATTTAAGGAGTGGTTTAGCATTATCTCAAAAGGAAAAATGAACATTTGTTTATTAATAATAAAATCTATTCATATATAAAATATAAAAATGCAAAACTAAAGCTGTTCTGTCAAATAAATATTAAGTACAAGTATTAACTATAACAGTGCAATTTACATTCGTTCAACATTTACTTTTATCTGTACATCCAACTTGTTGTTCTCTGTGTAGATCTCGAGTACTGCGTTGAAGCTGCGCTCGACTTTTCGTTTACATTGTATTTTTAACTGGAAGTCTCTTCCCGTGGGTATCATGCCTTCCGCAGGCACAACACTCAAATATTCTACATTTGATAAAGCAGTCTCGAAAACCTGAGCGACTGTGCATGTAGTTTTTATAGTCACGATTGCCTCCATTTTGGTCGGCGCAGTTAATATTACAACAGAAGGTGCAACTATAAAATTATCAACATTCATCACGTATTGAGTTGTACTGTTTGCTAAGAGCATGCTGAAAAGTTTGTAATTTGACATGAATTTCCGTATAACATTTCTTTGATTAAGTATATTATTAGAAACTTACTCAGAGGGTAGAAAGCTTGCAGCATTTCCGTCATATATGTGACTATTGTCACTGCACAGAGAATAAAACATTTGAGACTCATCGGCATTATCCTGAAGAACTGACATTGTTTCATCGGCGCACACTTCCATTGTGAGCATAATCTCATGCTGTCGAATCCCTTGACACAGGTCTCCTAGATTTTGCTAAATCAGAATGAGTGGATTAATAAAAACCCGTTAATAAAGTTAATATTAATTAGCAGGCGATTACCACTGAATCACGGATTGCATTTATATCCGGCATCAATTGTTCACCCGGGAAGGATTTGCATATTGGATGAACTATATTTTTAAATGCTTCATTTTCGTTACCGTTTAATTCACCTGATTCTTTTATTTTATTATATAATCTAAAAATGGTTTAATTAGTATTTAACTGCTCTAACGAAAGCTACTTTACAGAAAGTCAGATCAGTCTCACTACCTGCGAATTCGCCATCGCGTAGGTTCATCCCCGTTAGTAATATGTATTGTTCCTACATGAGATACATCCGATCGTTGCAACAATGCTAGATCTTCTTTTCGTGGATGAAATTCCAGAGTTACCCATTGTGTTTCTTTTGGATATAATATTAACTCGGTTGGGTTCACGTGCCAACTTAAAACCATAGAAGGATACACAGCTAAAAATAGGTCAAGAACGCTTGAATGAATCACATTGATTAATACAGTCTTTTGTTCTGAATCGAATAAACCAACCTTTTGGTATTAATTTAATTTTGACATAAGAACACAAGTCACCCGTGTTTTGTAACCGAAGTCTCGCATTCAAGGAACCTCCAGAATTTAGCTGACCTAGGGACAACCACATCTTCCCGCTTGTGTCTTTGAAAGCTTCAGAAATTTCGACCCTGCTGTAGCCACCGTAACCGTATAAAAATAACTAAAAATAAAGTGTAATAGTGTGGGAAAGCATGATTTAATTCAGGAGTTGGAATTAACGGCACGCAGCATGACGACCTCGAGGAATATGCCTCCTGTTCGTCGCGCGTCTCACTTACCATGGTCACCTCTTTTAGTTTGGAGCACATCAAGCGCGTATGCCTGATGCTGTGCGTGTGTGTATGTGTAGCATTTCGGCGACCATGGGGAAGCGAGATGCGCGGCAGGAGTCAGAAGGCGTAGCCTTCGCGATTCTTATGTTGCGTGCCGATAATTCCGAGCCCTGAATCTAATCGATTAAAACAAATTAGGTTTACTAGCTTTATTTACCACTTTCGACGGTCGAGACTCATTATCATCTCTTCTAGGTTCAAAATGTCTGAACACGATTTTACCAGTAGCTGCACCCAAATGGTGAGGGTTAAATACAACGGACAATGTTCTACTTTCTGATCCTTGCAGTACTAACACCATACTCATGCCACCAGCTTGTCGTTCTCGCAAAAACTATAATCAGATTAATTTTGAATGAATCATTGAGACTGGAAGTTGAAATATTTTCGAAAACAGCAAACTCCTACCCGAAAGTTCTTCTCGTTGTCGGATATAGTAACTTGAAGCTTGATTTTGTTATTGCTAGTGTTGCGAATAGTGAATTCTTTGACATCAGACTTTCCTGTTTTTATACTGTTCCATACCAAAGCAGCGTGAGTTGTTTTTATAGGGATTTTATCACCAGCAACTGTAGACCCCGACACAGAACTGAGAGGGGAGTTCCTTCCGGAAATCCCCGACCTGACCACAAAAAGCAATGTAATTTACCAATTTAAACATCTGTCTGCGAAGAAAATCCAAACTTACTTATTTGAAATCACACTGTGGGGAGATGATGGAGAACTAGCAGATGATAAAAGTTGAGGAGTTTCACAACGAAGAAATTGCTCGTTCTCTGTCTCCATGCAAGTACTTGATTCACCACAAACGGAGTACTGATATACATTATTGGCAGCAGTGAATTGTATTTTTGTAAGCCTATAGGAATATCAAAATGATATAATTTAAGGTGCTTCGTCTTAATAAAAATTAAACTTAGCTCTAAATTTAAAGGTTAGATTTAATTAATGAGTGAAGCATTTATAAAATTTTTTAGGTCAATCACCCAGAAGTAAGTTCATATAAAATAACTATATAGCACAATTTTTATTACCAACAACAAAATTATATCCAAAAATGAAAATAACAAAAACGAGAAAAGCTTAACAAGACTTAAAAGAACTGAATACACTAGAGCTAATTTTTATAGTTTTGTTCCCTTACATTTTCGAGGCGTCTGAATTTTGTGGTTTGTATGTAATATTAAAGTAGCCGGTGTTATTAGGTTGTAAAAGTATATGTTGTGGTTCAACTGTAAAATGTTTTAAGCTTTTCCCACAATCCGTGTCTGCGAATGAAGCAAACACCTGTACCGGTACATTTCCAACATTGATCACGTTCATCGATTTAGTTTGCTTATTGGACACCACGAAAGGCATATCAGTGTCGACTAATTGTATCTTACAAGTTCCTACTTGTGCTTTCAGAGCTATTTCTTTGATTATTATGGTATCATCTGGGCCGTTTTCCACTTGAACTATCAAGTTCCCATCATAGCATTGCAAAGATCTCTGTGACTGATCTAGATGTCTCTGTAAGATACCTTTGCACTGGACATTCAGGGTTAAAGATTCCTGGGACTTTATTGTCACGCGTTGCATTTCATTGTAATTTTCCAGACCGAATACTCGTGGTTCATCCTGCAAAACATAAAACAGAAAATAGTAATTTATAATTCAATATAAAATGTGTGAAGATAAATCAATTATTACTTGTGATATAGAGAGTCTCATGCATATCTCAATGCTGTTTTTATTCTTGATCGTAACAGGGAGAACAGATATAGTGTTCTCAATGATGGATTGAAAGACCAGCTCCTTCTTTTGCGATGGATTCGAAACGATTACATTTAATTCTTCAGGCTTGAAGCAAATTATGTGCTTTATGATCCATTCAGATCTCGTAACCATATCCGAAACTGTTATATTCAAAATAGCTATGATGGGTTTACACATCTTAACTATCGTCACTGCAATCTGAAATACATTGATTACAATTTGATTTTATATTGTACTGTATTATCATTAAAATACATTTTATCGTTTTTACCTTGGCATTTTGCTCAGAGTTTGGTTTAATAAGTATCACATCTTTTGGTGATACGAGTTGAACGTTTTGTTTGTCCCCTTGTACCTGATTTAAACTTAAAGAACATGTAACCCATCTGTCACCTTTGTTTAGCAGTTGGATGCCGGCTTCTCTCGACATACCAACAATACAACTACACAATTCCTCTGTGTTCTTACCAATGACAACATCTGCAAAGATTAAACGTTACCGATCCATCAGAAAATCAAACACAAAAAGTACAGTCATTGCAGTGTCGAAATAGCATACTACTTAATTGAGACTCAATTTCTTCAGAATTTGAAAGATCCTGTATAATAGATTCTGTTTTATCTTTATAAGAAATATTTTCCTTTTTAATAATTTCCTTTATCCCAAATTCTTCGATTTTCGAATTAACAAATTCTGTCTCTTGTTTGTGTTTTATGTTAGTTAGTGAAACACAGGATGGAACGTTTCGTCCTTTAGTATAATTTAAGAAGGATAATTTCGGATCTTCCATCAAAGATTGAAATTCTAAAATTAACGGTTCTTCTTAAGCTAATTTAAACGAAAAAACAATGACATTCTCTTAAGTAAACTGTACCTTGACTGTACGAAGACTTCAAGTTTTTATTACTTATTTCTTTTTTAAGATTTTGACAGGCAGTTCTGAAATTTGTTTTCGCGTCTAGATTGGAGTTTAAAGATCGCCTACTTGAAGCAGAGTGTTCAAGATCTAACGTTTCATTAGGAATTTTGCTATCTAGTGATAGTTTCGAAGACAAACTTAATGGTGGAATATCTTTTTCAAAATTCTCGATGCTTCTACTTGAGGTTGCAGGCATTGACTTTCTATTCAAAGGCAGCATGGTATATGTATCCCTATTCGCCTCTTCTATCATGTGTGCAGATTTCTTCTTTTTCTTTGCCATAAGTTCATCCACTAATCTTCGTGGTGTACCACTGTCGATATCCTGTAATGCTTCAGCAATGCTAGTTAAACTCATGATACTTTGTTCTTCTGTATTTTTCGTTGTACTTGGATTGTTCTGCAGACTTTTGCCCTTTGCAATAAATGAGCTAGCTGATGATGCTACAAAACCAATATCAGTACTTTAGAGAAAATTTGTCCTTTACAAAATGTAACTGACAATAATGAATCGGTTCAAGCTAGTCTATTATACTTTCTGTTATGATAGTTGAGTCAACCAATGGAACAAGGTCGCCTTTTTTTTTAGGACTGTTCACAGACAATCCTAAACTTGGCCTTTCGATTACACCATCGGTTAATTCTCCAACATTACCACATTTCCTCTTGAAAAATTCATCAACGGCCATCTTACGGCCGCCGCAAGATCTAAAATTACAAAAACCAAATCACAATCGTTATGTAAAATAGAATTAGTGTTTAAGATTTTTTTGAGACTCACTCTACTGATAAGTCCAGATCACCAATGATACCGGAAAAACAGGATAAATTCAGATACTCTTTTTCAGCCAAAGTCGTTGTTGGAAGAGCATAGGAGTAATTTTGCTGCCAGGATGCTTCATCTGCCAGCAATTGACTAGCCATTTCAGAAGCAGGTCGGAATTCTTCATTTCCAAACTGTGCCATCAATTCGGCATCGGTTGAATTGAATGTTATTGCATTCACATTTTGATCAGACGTTACTGATAAACGTTTCTGTGAACTTCTGCTCAAACCAGATGAGCGGGCGCTTATTTCGTTTGGTTCGAAAACGATCTAAAAATAAAATTTTAATGAAAAGATTGTTCCACCATTTTCTTTTTGTAAATTGATACTTACGTTACTCGCCTTGCTAACAATTGAACGTAATGTACTCTCATCTTGAGTATTCGTCTGAGTAGAAGAGTCTCCTTGACTGACAAGAGTCGGAGATGTTATATTGCTGCATAGATTTTGAATGCTGACATTATTTTCTTCGTTTGTATCTGTAACATCCATTTTCAAGGTCACATTTTATTAGTTAGAACATCTTGTACATGGATATGTATGGATATTACTATATGGAAGAGATGTAGTTTTAATGTTGCTACATCTTTGAAGTAGTTTTCTAGCTAGTTCACGTTCTGAGTCCAATTTGTCTTCCCTTTGCTTGTATAAATCAGGTCCACTTACTTCAGCTAGAACTAAAGAGGAAATTATTATAGAATAACAGCTTTCAAGAAATTGGAACAAAACGAGAAACTAACAGGAGGATATGTTGTCCAATATACCCAGAGACGAATCATCAGACTTTTGTATTGTATCATCTTTACTCGCTGTAGATCGTTTATATATAGCTTCATTAATACTTTGATCAAAGAACTTATTTCCCAATCTGTAAAACACAATACAATCAAAAGAATGTTAGGACAATACTATCAAAAATTACTTAAAACTGTGCATTAACTGGTATATGCCACACAAATACATTACTTTTAATCAATTTCTTATTAATATTTTGTAGTGTTCTGTGAACTTGTAAAAAAGAATTTCCTCCTTATATTTTAATCACTTTATTTCGGCGCATGTATAACAGAAAAAATAAAGAACTTAACCATTATTCTACATAAACTTGGATTTATATGGATCATATGGATTTTGATGACCATGAGATATGTTATCGAAATCATCATTTTGAACAACTTTCTTGTATAAATGTTACGGCTACTCTGCCTTCATTTCCAAGATATTTACAAAAGTAGTGTTACCGGCAATGTATGAATTGCGTAGAACTTGCCTATTACCGGCATGGCATAAAATGTTTCACGTTTCTAGACGAAGTATGAATATTTTATATTTTATCAAAGACATCGAAGTCCGACCGACGCTTTGTTTTATATTGCCTGTTACTTGTAGGTTAAGACGAAGTAATTTGAAAAATTAAAAATGTTAAAATCTGAGAGGACGATCCTTTTCTACAAGTTCGAAAACAGTTCTACTATAGACTGTTATAATAAATTTAATAAAGAAAAACGGACTTATATTTCAGAATAGAAATAAAAAGAGACTCACGTGCTTTTTCTTTGTACAGTCGACGTTGCTTGTGGTTCAGGAGTGTTTAATAAAGTTACATCGATAAACTTCGCACCCGTGGACTTCGTCGGTGTAGACATTGTTAAGTATTTCGCTTTTCTCTTAATTTCATATGTGAATATCGTTCAAGAAAAGGACACTTGTGGACGGAAAATCCTGGGCAACGTTTTAATCACTAAATTGCACTAAATCATTGAAGCCAAGAGAAGAACGTACCGTATTAAAATGAACGTAACTTAACGTTCTATTCGACAGTTGAACGATTTTAGCGTTCAAATTTGAAAATATTCCAAGCAATTATATCCATAGACAAATGGTACACTTTACAGATTGGTCTCATCTCACATGATTTCTGAAACATTGTACAGCGCCATTAGTGTTTGAACTTGAGAATTAAAAACTGAGAAACTTTTTCTAACTGTGAATACAATTAGATACATACACGTAAATAAATCTCTAATAAAAGACACACAACGAGGGTAAAGTTAGGTCGTAGGACGCCATCCGCGGAATTTAAATTAATAGTTGTTTGTTTTTCACTTATATTCATACTTCAATTCTATTTTACAATAATATGCAAGCTTCTTAGTCTATTATATCTTCGGTAAATATTATTTTGCAGTAAGCAATATCATGGTGCTATAATAATAAATTATCTATAGTTTAAAAAATTTATGTATAGATAAGGTCAAAAGCAAAATATGTAGTTGTTTTCTTATTTACTTCATTTATATCTTATTCTTTTAAGTATTAAACATATATATATATATATATATATATATATATATATATATATAANTTCACTTATATTCATACTTCAATTCTATTTTACAATAATATGCAAGCTTCTTAGTCTATTATATCTTCGGTAAATATTATTTTGCAGTAAGCAATATCATGGTGCTATAATAATAAATTATCTATAGTTTAAAAAATTTATGTATAGATAAGGTCAAAAGCAAAATATGTAGTTGTTTTCTTATTTACTTCATTTATATCTTATTCTTTTAAGTATTAAACATATATATATATATATATATATATATATATATATATATTATTTTTATTATTATTTACGAAGGTAAA